TGTGATGTCCCTGAAATTGGAAGACATGCCTTCCTGTGTTGCTATATGGTTTGGTAGAATCACCTTAAAGCCAACTAAGGGCCACTCCATGGCCTCACCAAACTCTTCCCACACAAGTTTTGCTTCAGTTATTGTCAGATTTGCATTCTGTATTTGTCAGCTACTTCCCAATTCCCTCAAGCTATTCAGTCTCGATAGGACTCCTTCTCAAGCTTGACAGCTCCCTTAATCTCTGGCGTCCAGCATCCGGTTGCCATGCTATTGCCATGACTGCCATTAACCGCTTTACAACTGTAACTTTGTACATCAGTAGATGTATGGCTCATGGTCCATTAATGTCCCCAGCATTCCTTAGTATGTTTCAAAGTTGTGCATCTGCTAGATGTTATCAGTGGACCCTTACTGTGTGTTTCACCATGCCAAGCCTGTCCAGCATCCTCCTTCCACCACCAATATTTATGTTCAGTACTGAAATGTAATAATGCTTTTTTTGGTTTGTTCTTGTTTTGTCTCAGTATTCATGTCAGGACTAAAAATAAATTTTAATTTTTGAGTTTGAGGGGTTGTCATAGTGTTCTAGTTTAAATATATTAATTCCCACACTCGAGTCTCACTGCTGAAACATTATTTACACGTTTTCACCTACTTTTCCATTTAATAAAAAAAAACTGTGACTGAAAAATTTGAAAGATTCTGGATTAAATGGGTTAATAGCACATTATTTGCTAGGTTAAAAGTAAAGTTCATGACAGCTTTTTCTTGTTATTGCTCCATATAATGCATTAAAATCCATGAGGTGTCAAGATAGTGAGTTTTTTTGTCTATTTTATCATCGCTGCCTGCCTTTTAGATTTGTAATTATGCACAATAATTTTTGCAAAGATTACAGCAACAAGGTTTCCATGTCTTACATTCCTCTACCTCCTTTACCACCTCGTGCCATTCATTGTCATTGTGAAAAGGTGTGTGACTCCCAAGTAGAGCAGAGCCCATTATCGTAAATAGGCCAGTAAGTAACTTCACACAACGTCTCCTGGAGGCTGATAGAATATAGAGTGCGCAAGCATATAGAGTGTGCAAGCTCACTCTATATGCAAAGCAGAAACACACTGTTAAAGAAACTGGAGCCAAGTGATTATATTTGTAATTTAATTTCCTTGGTCACATAGAGATAAGAGAAGAGAGAGGATACAGCTGGCCAGGGATGACTAGAGTGACGAGAATGTGACTACAGCTTTATTGTCTAGACTGAAATGTCCAAGGCGACACCACTTACGAACAAGGGTACCGCTGGGCAAAAGGGGTAAGCCCACAGACATTCACAAGTCCAAACTCAAAGACACAAAAGCAAACTTAGTGGCAGAGACAGCAGAAAGAGTCTGACAATACAAAAAGAAAACCCCAAACACATATCTTGCACTCAAATTCAGTGATCACAGAATGATCAAGAAACCCCCTTTTTTCTCTTTTCTAAGCTCTGCTACTGTGTATGTCTTCTTGTAACCAGGTGGTCTGGTCCAGTCACAAAGAGCAATGTCTCATTGCAGATTCTGCAGGCAAGACGTACTGAGCGGCGGCGAGAAAAATAACTGAAGGACACAAGGTGCACTCTCATGCACCCTCTCTCTTTCTCACTCCCACTCGCTCCCTGCTTTACTATGAGATTGTAGGACTGCAGACATCAAATTTCCTGACTTTTCCATTTTCAAAGACTGTCCACTTATACTGATGACAATGCAGTAGAGGGCACAGCACTGCAGTGGTCAAACTCAGATTTAGAGCTATAGCAAGAGCGCGGTGGTGAGGGATGGAGAGAAAGGTGCAAAGTTCATTAAATCTGACACTACACGACACGCACAGAATACAAGGACAGTGTGAAAGTATTTTGTGACATCTCAAATCCTCTCTCCCCCTTTGTTCTCGCCTCCTCTGATCTTTATGTCTGTTTCTCCCTGCTGTCTTGTCTTTCTGTGTATTTCCTCAGTGTCTTCACTTTGAACCCAACAGCATTAACCTGTCAGGAAAGTTACAAATGTTCTGACTGAATTATGCAAACCATGGAGAAATAAAACTGCAAAAAGCATGGAGTCCTCGCTTTATTTCATAATTCATCACACTCCCAGATCGAGCCAAATAAAACTTGACTTATTAAGTAGTCCGGCACATTCTGGCTCAAAACCCTGCGAAATATGCTTGAGAATATTAATCACACTTTGTATACCTTGCAAATCAAAATCAAACACTCACACACACACACATGTAGGCATGCACAGACTTTTTGTGATTACATTACTCATCAAATGAAAGCAGTGTCTCCCTCATTTCACCAGAATTCTGTGCAAAAGTCAAAACGATAGGTGTTACACCAGCACCACCAAAAGGTACAGGAGAAAATAACAGTTTTTGGCGATTCTTGCTCTCTTGTTTTTTTTTTTGTTGTTGTTTTTTTCCTTCCTCTGCAAAATTCAAACTTATAGCTCTGAAAATCAGATTAAGAATGCGTGCCTTGGCACTCTGTGACGTTATTTATTTATCTCAATGAACACAAGCACAGGCACACAGCACGGAGAAACACATAGTTTATGCTGAGGATTGGCATAGTGGCGGTGCAGCATAATTAGTAGGACATGGCTGTATAATTGGACTCTAATTGATATGAAGAGTAGTGGTTTAGCCCAGGTTATGTTGTACACATGCTGCCAGCCACAGGCAGGAAACACTCAATCTTGGTGCCATCTTCTGATTGATGTCTCTATAGCAGAATGCCCTTCAACAATCAACACCCGCAATCTTTCTGTGACTATCTGGCCACCTGTCTATCTGTATGTAACATCTTCTGCCATTCATCTGTCATTTCTTACTTTGTGCCTAACTGTCTCACTATCTCTTTCTTTCTATCTCCATATTGATTTGTCCTGCCTTTCTCTGAAGGCGTTCTCAACCTTTAGTCCGATGCTTTCAGGAGGGTAAAAGAGCAGCATTTGTAGTGGTGGAAGGTGAAAAGGCTAGGGTTTGTTTATGAGACACTGGCAGCTATAAAAGACTGTGTTCTTTCAAGTGCCCAGACAGCATCTACTGAAGGGAAATAAAAGCAACTTAAGATGAAAAGAAAATCAATTTTAGAAGGGCTTTTATTTACAAAGAAAAATGGGTTACTAAGTCTCTCATTTTAACAAATAATGTTTAAAAAAAAAATGTTATTTTAAAAAATAGCAACTGAATCAAGAGAGGCACAGCTGGATACAAGAGGTTGTAGTGAATTTAAATAATTTGAAGTTAGAATGAGGAAGCTCTTTGGACCAATTCCGTTCATGGATCGCACGCTGATGCAACGCGACCTTCAAGGACATTCCCCTCATTTACACAGCAATTAACCACTACCCTGTTGGTAAATTGAAAAAGAGACAAAAATCCTCTGTGGATTTAATAACAAACTCATTACCAGGGCCCAACAGGGCGGAACTGCCTTTTAATTAGAGCAACACCTGATTAACGCCCAATTAACAAAGCCAGAGCCACTTAATTCTCCCCCACTTTGGCAGGTTGAGAACATAAACATGAGCAGTCCAGCATCTGAGCGCTTCCTTTCCTCTTGGGAAGGTGTGAAAGAAAGTAAATAACGACTTGGGAGGCAGTTTGCTGTCTGGTGCCCCAAATGTTCTGCAGAACCAGCAGCTGCATGCAAGAAATGAAAGAGTTTTTCAAAAAAAGGAAGCAGATGTAGGACTTGCAAGGGAAGAACTCTGCTTCGCTACACATTCAAGACCCACAGGCTGGTGGGCAACTGTCCAAACAAAGAACCATAGCGCTCAACCACACAAGCTTCTGCTTCCCTTAAAAACATCCAGATACTTTTCTAAAAGGAACAACGCTTTTTAAACTGTGAGTTGCTGAGGGTTGCTTAGTCAGTTGCTTAGAGTCCACCACAGGCAGACGAGGTTTTGTTGAACAGTTACAGTACAAAAAAAAAGTTTGGATATGTGCGTAGATCTTTTTTGTTGCTCTTTTCTATGGTATACACAGGAGTGTATACACACACACAACTGCTATTTAACTTTAAAAAAACATGTAAGCTGCTACGTGTAAATAAAACAGAATCGAATCATTTACAACTAAGTGAAAACTTGTATTAACTGAAAATAACTTAAAGACAAGATACGTGTTATACTGAGAAATTTTATTGTTTTTTGATAACATTTAAAAAAAATACAAAATGGGCAACAACAACAAAAAACAACAAAGTAACAAAATTTACAATTAATAAAGACTTGGTATAAAAAAAGAAAAGAGAGTGTTTCAAAAGTCTAAAGGAGAAGAGTCCACCAGTGTGAAAGGTAGTGCAGGCAGACCGTTCAAGAACATTGTTTCTTGTTAGTCCTACAACGGACTGGCAACCACTCAAAGACGTACCCCACGTCCTGCCAAATGACAGCTAGCTGACAATAGTTGGAATTCTGTTGATGCACACCAATGTTTCTTACTGTAAAAATTGCAAAGAATTTGCAAGTGGGAATTTCCTTAACTACAGTGCAATCTACTATTAAAAGAAATGTGCATAAGGGACACGGCTGAAAACAAGTACTGAATGGCCATGATCTTCAGGCCCTCATGGAGCTCTGCATTAAAACAATGCTGTAGTTGAAATTATAGTCTGGGCTCACGAATATACCTGAGAACTACTCATCTGTTTAGAAATAAACCCAAGTTAAATCTCCATGCGAACAAAAAAGAAAAACATATGTAACACACCAAAAATGCTTGTAATGTGTACATCTGTCAACATTAATCAGTACCTATCATCTTTTACATCAGCGGTCCCCAACCTTTTTTCCGGTTTATGCCTGACAATATTTTCACGGACCGGCCTTTAAGGTGTCGCGGATAAATACGACAAAATAAAACTAGTACCGGTACCGAAAAAAATAAGATTTAATCATAACACACGTGAAAAGACCAAGGAAAACCGAGTTAACGATAACAAAATAACCCTGAAAACCATACATTTCACACCTGAGCCTCAACTCTCGCGGCCCGGTACCAAACGACTCACGGACCAGTACCGGTCCGAGGCCCGGGGACCGCTGTTTTACATGACAATTACTATTTGAAGTGTCACATGATCAAAACAATGACTTCAGGTAAGATATATCGCAGCAGCACTATTCAGATAAATGTACTAACTGAATGTCTTGTTTACGTAAATTGAACTCAGAGCCCTTTATATCTGGACCTGATCCTGGCTGAGGCGCAAACCTATCATTAGTTGTGTATTTCACTAGTTGGTATGTTATTAGTCCTTAGTGTGTTGTGATTTCATTTCAATCAACAAACCAGTGAACCAGTCAACAAACCAGAAAATGATTTCCACAGTAAGCCCAGCAGGAAACTTCAGTTCTTCTGACTTCAGGATTTTTTCAGTGCACAGTTAGCTGAGTTTGTGTGCAATAATGTGTAAACTGACTCCTTTAGCGTCATATTCATATTCATGTCCTTTTTGTTTCTGAACTCCGTTCAAAATTCAGACATATATTTCATCACACCCTTGTTGCTTTTGGGGTTAAAAGGATGAGAACTTTGACTAAAAGATTGTTCGTCGGCCTCAGACGGAGAGGAAATCCGCCATGGCTCCACGGCATTCTCCAAGTCAGGTAGGATGTCTGGCACGACAGCCTGTTCAACGATAAAGACGATCGGCTCCACGACGAGCAGCAGGGTCCAACCTAAAGCCCCCAGCCAATAGGAGGAGCCAAGACTGGAGAAGTCCTGACGGATTTCTTCACGGTGCTGATATGTGAAAAAAGACCAGCTCAGGAGGAAGAAGAAACCTGTAGACAGATGGCGAAAATGAGTCAACTCAAGTATGATTACCGCTAAAAGAAAAAAGGTATTAAGCACAATTATTACATGCCTGGAGCTTTAGGGAAGACTTTGCATGATAATGAACTGCAATTCCAAAGAAAATAAAGTCTCCGTGCGCTCCCCAGCGGGGTACATAAATGACTAGTACATGAAACGACTTCTGTAGGTGAGAGCTTGACATGAATGACATAAACCAAAAGGCCATTTGGAGGGTAGTTGGAAATGTAGAAACAGAATAAGAGAAATCCAATAAACACAGTGTTTACATATGTGGATGTCATAGGAAATGAATATATGTTACACACCTGTGGGGGCCATGGTGAACAGCAGCAGGGTAGTGGGGTAGAGCGCCTTTTGTACAATGAGGAGAGCGCGAGTGTTTGAGTAGGAGCGCACCGTCTGGGATGTCCAGCAGAGGGCAAACACCAGACACAGAGCAGCCGTGCTCAAGGCCATCAGGGAGGAGAGAACTCCAAAGACCCTCTCTGCTTCCAGAGCTGCAGGACACAAAACAACAGACAAAAATTAGAATGGTTAACTACACTTATATTCATTTTTTACACATTCATTTCCACTACGAGCATGATAAACACTACACAAGGTCAAATTTTCCCACAATATATCCCTTATTTTATCCTCGAATGCCTTTGCTAGAGAATGATCTGTGAGTGCACTTAGGATTAAATATGGTTTTTTAATGTTAAATTTAGACATATTATGCTGTTTTCCACCTCTACACTTTTATTCTGGCGCTCCACCAGAGTAACTGTCCATACTTCACTATTCAATTAAGTCCTCATTTATTTAATACCAGCTGTTTTGCAGCACTTGAAGAGTCCACTGGAAAAAGGTAATAACCTATTAGCTCTGGGCTTTTTAAAGAAAAAAAACCCCCTGTTTCTTAAATGTCTGCTTTCTTCTGTCTGGCCAAGTTTCACAAATTTGTCACAAGCCTTATATACTTTGTTTTCTAGAAATACCCCCAGGGGAGACATGTGGGATGCGCTAAAAGAGTACCTAGAAAAATGATATTGTGCTGTTGCCAAATGACTGTATTTCTCAGCACTGTTGGTTTTTAAATGAAGTATATCAAATGACTGTTATTCTTCTACTCCGGCGGATGATTTGATGCTTGACGAGAACGTGTACAAATATTTCCTGAGAAGAAACAAGGTTTCGGCCAGGAGCAGATGTATAAATGATGTCATTAGCTAATGTCAGAGATGAAAACTGTAGGAAACCAAGTGTTCAGGGATAACCTTTATATGTTTATCTCCTTACCTGAAACTCAATATTCAGTATCGTTCTTTTTAATTTTAGAACAGACGCAGCATAATATATCTCTTTAAGTCAACTTTGGACTATTGCAGTTAACAGCTATTTACTATATTTTTATCTTTTTAGTAAATTAATAATTTTGTGGTAATAATCTTTATATTGATCACTCATTCATTAGAGTTTCTTCTCAGCATGAGGAAAAGACTTTTTGTTGTTGTCATAACTGATATTTTTTCGTGGTGTCGTTAATCATATCTAATTTCTAATCACCATTATTACAAGCAAAAAGACAACAACTATCTTGAGTGCCTTCTCATTTGCTTTCCTTCTTTGTGTATGAGAGCAGTGGAACTTATACAATATTAGATTAATTATTAAGAGCATAAACTCAGTTTATGTCAGTTTATGACACGAAGAGATTTGAATGATAAAGACCGGGTTTTAGCTCACTAAAGATTTCGCAAGCGCATTCAGTACAGAACTGAGCCTTAACAAAGAATGCAATTCACCCGGACAGAAGCAAGCTCAAACTTGTTTACTGCTGCAGAGAATCTCTTCTGTAACTCAGCGTTTTGTCAAATCTCCCTTTTGATATTGATCCTCTCTTGAGAAAAATAAATTCTCCTAAGGCTGAAGCAAGCAGAAGCAGTCTTATCAAAACACAGCAAAGATGCGCTTAAGTCTCATTAAATATGCTGCCTTTCCTAACACATTTTAGTCTTTAACCTAACACAGAGTGAACGCTTAAGACAGATACGAGATTTGTTGACTGCAGAGCGGTGTCAGAGAAGCGTTTGGCTCACCGTTGATGCCAATATCATCTTTAGGATTCGTCTGGTCGCTTTCAGTGGCGTTCCACTCCGTCCACAGTCCCCTGTCCTTCACCCAGTAAGGTGTCCAGACTGCATAGCACACACACAGGCACCCCGCTAATCCCAAACAGGACTGTGAAAACCTGAAGCGACCGATCGAGTCATCCAGCTCAAGAAACTTCATTTTGACACCGCTAAAAGAGACAGGGGCGAGGATAAACAAGAGTGTAATTAGGATGTGTTGAAGTTCAGCAACAGAGGGATAATCTAAAAGTAACCTTGGCATATAGATTATTTAAATGAGCTTTACAAATATAAAAGCCTTGGCTTACCTTTGTTGTTGTTGTTGAAGGGAAAAGAAGCTGTCAGGAACCAAGCCGTGAGGTTAAACTCTGATTTGAGTTTGCCGTAAAGTAGAAGAAAGTGTAAAAGTAGCGCTGTGCCAAAACTACTGTACAAACACTTCCAACACTCATTTGACATATGAGATAATGTGCTTACAACAACAACAGATCAAACCCTCACTGTAACTCCACCGTCGCAGTGGAAACTCCCACCCATCAGGGCTGAAATTTCCCCTTGAATTCTCCACTGTGACTTGCCGAGTCGCTCTATAGAGAAAGTGAAAGCTCCAGCAACAGCCATTCAGTATTTGAGGAAGTAGACGTTTATGCGTCTAAAAGTAAACAGAGTTGAATAGGTTCGAAAAGCTCGATCTAAAAGTCCCTTAACAGTTGAGCGATTATGTTCGACTGCAATAAACAAATCAGACCCTTGTCATGTAGAAAGTGTGTGGGGGGGTGTCGTCGGGTCATTACGCATCACGAAACGGTTAAGGAAATCCCACTCTCTGTCACAGACAGTGGGCTACAAAGTGTTGTCAGCCAATAGCGTCTTCGGCATCAGATATCTCCCCCCACTCGTCACTCTACTCTCACCACCTTCACTTTCCTTTGCAGCAGCGGAACAGAACCCACAGCCCACCCATGCCAAAGAACAAAAAATGTCACACTGAAACACACAAAGAGCACACAAAATAACACATCTCCAGCTAAAGGCTACTTACTCTAAATGAATAACAGTCAAGAAAATAAATAATACGTCCTGTATTTATTTGTGGACTATTAACTTTACAGCAAGTACAATTCATTTTGACAAAATAAGATGAAAATCAGAAACATTTACAATTCATAAGAAAAGAGACTTGTAGTGTTTGATGTTAGGACACGTCTGATTTTTGGTTGTTCTAATTGGCATCCACTTAAAATATCAGCAAATAAATCCACTTCTCAGCTTAACGATAAGGCCTCAAGACGCATACAGAAAAGTTCTCCGTCCTGTTCTTAATGCCAGGCTGGGTTTTTTCTTTACTTCTCTTTAACCTGGTCTCAGCTATTTCATTCCTCAAAAAGAGACATCAGAGCTGACCTTGCGTCAGGTGTTTGTGTCAAGCTTTTCCCCATAAACACAGGAAGCAAGAGGGATGCTCAAGTACTGCCTCTTGAAATTTGGCAGCTACATTCGTGCCTGTTTAATCCTAAGCTTACTTTCTGGCTCTTTGCAGCAGGACCTTGAACACATCAAAAATTTCTGGGTCCTCCCCAGCAGACAGCTCTGGAGTGCTTTTCTCCAGCCAATCAGAGGAACGGATCTGATGCCTGAGAGTACCGATCAGCGTGTCAAGACTCTCTGTGGGCTTAGAGGCTTGGCAGTCTTCAGTGGCCAGCGAGCCTGTGTCAGGAACAGGGCTATCCCTCTCCTTCAGCTGATCTGATGAATTGTTCTCGAGTAAGGTTTTTGGATTGACAGTAGCAGCATTGTCTGAACCTGCATTGTCCTTTTTTACTGGCCTTTGGCTCTCCTCACTGGTTTGTTTGATGTCCGGGACTCTCATTTTTGCTTCAGTTTCTTTTAAAGCCTCTCTAATTCGCTTAAGGCCTGAAAAACCACAAAACAAAGTGACAAAATAAGTCAGTACAACATAAACCTTTAAATTAATAAATTATATCACAGATATGTGCTAATCACTGTCTAGTATAAGCACAGGGTGACAAAGCATTCTACATATTTAATCCAGAAAGCTGTAAACTTTAAAAATAACAGCATATAAACAAAGTATAACTATGGTAGATTTAAAAACTACAGAAACAATTAAATATTAATAAATTAAAGCCTTTACTATTATAATTTGAAAGATATCGCTGTACTAGAATGCTAAACTAAAGGATGTTTTTTGGTTTTTTTTAAATCAACCGATTAGGTCATCACAGACTACTCAGTCTTCTTCCTTTGGAATCGGAGAGGTTAACATCAAGCCAAGAACTTTCTGCAAACACCATCTCAAAAATAGCTATGAGGAAAATTAATGAATTAAGATTTTTATCCTCATTTTTATCAATGTTGAGCAAGAATGAGGAGCAATTTTCACGTGTTTAACTATTCTAAAATGTGGAAGGATTTTAAGGTGACTTTAAAATGACAAATTTCTCAGTTTCTCATAATAGACCAAGGATAGCAAAGGACTTGGGCAGGGAATTTGTGGTAAAATTTAAAGGATATGACCTTTACTCTCCCTCCCTCAATGCAATAACAGCTAATCTTACCTTAGAAGCAGAGTCCACTGAAAAGAGCTGCTTTAAAGATTTAGGTATGTTTGTATTTTGTTATTATTTTTCTAATGGAATTTGGTGACTGTGATGTTTGATTTTAAATTGTCATTTTTTTACTTTTATTTTGTAGCATAATTTTGAAACTTCATGTGTACTATTCTTTAGAGCAGGGGTGGGGGAACTCCAGGCCTTAAGGGCCGGTGTCCTGCAGGTTTTAGATGTGTCCTCGATCCACTGCAGCTGATTTACATGTGTCAAAGTCCTCCAGAGGTCTGATAATGAACTAATCATTTGATTTAGGTGTGAAGACCCAGGGTGATATCTAAAACCTGCAGGACACCGGCCCTTGAGGCCTGGAGTTCCCCACCCCTGCTTTAAATGATGGCATTTTATGTGCCTAGTTCTCCTTATTTAACTGTGCTCAGCCTTCCTGTAGAGTATGCTGTGTATACAGTTAGGTTTTTTGGACAATGACACTTTTTTCTGTATACCATGACATGTGGATTTTAAACCAAACGATCAAGAAGTGAATGAAGTGCCGACCTTTACCTTTACATAAACACATTTAACAAAAGTATTGCTTTAACTTTTTATGAAATACATAGTATACGTTTTCCCAAATTTTCAGAGGCTCAAAGGTAATTGGACAAAATAAACAAATTTTAAAATAAGCAGATTGTTTCTAATACTTGGGTGGAGTGCTTGCAATCTGGGACAGCCTGTTCTGCTTGTTTGCGGCTGTTTTGCTTTCAGTTTTAAGGAACTGAAAAGCTGCTCTGTTGGGTTGATTTTTGACTTGGCCATTGAAAAACATCCCATTTCTTTCAATCTCATTTCTTCTTTTCTTTGAAAGACTCTTGGTTGCTTTTGTAGTATTCTTGTGTCATCATCCATTTGCACTGTGAACAACATAGGTGTACAATAGTTTTGTTTTTCACTGCTTCTTTGGACCAACAAATCTGGTCCAATGTTAATGGCTCACTGCTCTTACTAAAACAGAGAGTAGGTGAACGGCTGAGAGGGCTGGCCAAGAGAGACTACGAGTGTTGTTGGTACTGACCAAGCTGAAGGTGGTGCTGTTGGTCTGCAAAGACGATGCGGAACCACCCGGGCACTGAACAGCAGAACGCTTGGCCACAACTCAGCAGCACCTTGTGCCTGAGGAAACACTTCCACAGAGACAGCTCCTCCTCAAACGATGACTCTTGGAGATACTACCAAAACAGAAGTGACAAATCAAACCTAAAGAATATAGATTTCAAAAGAATGAGAAGAGTGTTGTGTTCATATGCGAGCCGTTTCAATTCGACTTCGGTCTTGTTACCTTTCTAAGGTCAGCCCAGACATACAGTGTCGCAGGCCTGTCTAGAAACGGGATGCCCATACTGAGCAGCTCTCCAGTCAAGTAGCTGCACGCAGCTTTCAGCCTGCGTCTGTTCTCAGGCAAAAATTCCTCATTGATCCACTCTACAACACGAGAATGCCAAGTGACAGTCGCAAGTGTAAATTAAATGTTACAAGTCTTTCTGCAGCAGAGGCCCCATGCTGTGCTTGTCATATCAGAGAAAGCAAAAAAGGGAGGCTCGTGTTTCTTGAAAGCATGGAACGCTTTCAACGAAGGAAGAACAGTGGAATTGTTAAAATGCTTGCATCAAAAGTCATTTGCATTTATGAATATAAATTCCGCTATACACAAAATGCTTGTTTTGTGTAAAGAGTGCTGGATTGTTTTGTCCAAATTGTGCTCGTGTTAGGATTATTTTCCAAGTGGTTTTTCTGATAAATCTGATGTTACAACAGCAGTGTGACTGCAAAAGAACACAAAAAGCTCAGATCTCACCTTTGTCCTGAAGCAGTTGTGCAACCTGGTGCTGTGTAGTCCCAGAGACACCATGAAAAGAGCCCAATTTGGCCAAAGCCTCCACCAGGTCTCTGTTCTCAGTATATAAAGTGCCTATTCTGATTCCTGCCATTGCAAAGTCCTAGAAAGGACATGACAAAGTCAATGAAAAATAATGAACTGTGAAAGCAATGTATACGGTTATTGAAAGTCTCACAGTTTTCCACTTCCAGGCCTCTGTACAGCACATACCTTGCTCATTCCCCACATTATATGCGTCCTCTGTGGGTCGGGCAAACTGAAATAGGGGCACATCATTATGAGATAAGTGGATGTCTTCAGCAGCAGTTATGATGATTCAAGGTCTAACAGACTAATCATGCGGAGGTTAGGTTCACGCAGTACCTGTCTGCACTGAGGACACTCTGAAAGGTGACAGATTCATCAAACACTGTCAGCATGTACACTTCATCTACAATGGCATGGAGAGCATTTCTAAAGCAGGAAAGGAGACAGGAAGATAACATAAATATATACATATTTTCAGTGCAGCAATAATAAGGCCTGGTTTTATATTCTTAATGGATATTTCAGACGAGGAAAATGCGACATCAATGTAAAACGGTTCCTTCAACGCCCAGTGTCACTGTAAAAGCACTGTGGTTTATGGTTACAACAGCTCAGTGCCTGGAAGGGTCTGTGCAGGGAATTACTCTGGCAAGATCATTTAGAAAACAATAGATGTTGCAGGAGTGTCTTTGGCACATGGCTGCACTTGACAATATGCTGGTGATTAAGAGAGGTCGTAAAACTCCGTCAAGAACGTTTGATATTCCACACACGGGACAGAGCTCTCCGTCATAAAATAAAACAGATCACAGTAGGAACTATATGCAGTGACTTGGCAAAGCGCTTAAAGGAACCGCAGGAATGTAGAGCGAGAGGATTACAGTGTTAGGCCGCAGTGTGAGATAATAGTGAGGCAAACATACCTTTTGGCAAACTCCAGGAAGGTAATCATTTCCTTCAGGCTGTAGATTTCAGCCAGAGGGTTGTGGGGGTTCATCAGGATAACACCGCGAATTGTCAACCCCTTAAAGAAATGGCAGGTTCAACTGGAGGTAAACAGGAACTGCTACACTGTACCTTCACAGTCTTTACAGATAAACTGGGAAGATCTCTTTTAACATTTAAATGTTACTGTTTCAAACCAGTACGCCTTCCTTACCTCTTCCTTAGCTCTTTGCAGACCTTCTTCTAGTTTCCGTACAGTGAGGCGGAAGGGTCGGTTATCTTTGCCATCAGCCTTTAAAAACAAAAGAAAAAGCAGCCCAACTGAATAGGGGCCAGTGTGCACAAAAACATCCATTTCAAATGCAAAATGCTGCAAGTAACTCGGGTTGTGCCTTCCTACCTCACAATCAAGGGGAACATGGAAGAGTTTTACATCGCTATACAGATGAAGATCTTCAGTGATGACGCCGTAGAAAGGAGTCGGAATAAGGATGGCATCTACGGGATGCAAAACACACAAAACAGGTTAAAATGTGCACTTTTTTATTATCTCACTTTTCATTTTAGTATACAATTAATTAAATGTGCACATATAATCTGTATCATATTGTATTTTCATGGGTGTATATACTGCACAGCTGAGCCATATCTGGTACTATTTTGAGTTGTTACTGGTCATTGCCTTTGCTAACATGGAACCAAAATCACCAACGAAAAGCATCTGCTGATTTCAAAAACATCCCACTAATGACTGGCTCACTCTGCCTTAGTGATTCAGGTAGGCAGTAAATAGGTAAATACCAGCTGACTCTGAGGCTCATGATTTTTTTTTAACGTTGTGACTGAGCAAAACCAATTTACTGCGCTGCTTAAAACGAAGCTTCGCCAGCAGAGGTAAACAGAATGCGCAATTTATGTGGCTGGGTGTTTTCTTTAAAATAAGCCTGCGTAATCCTTCCCATTATCTGTTAAACAAGCAAGAGAGGAACGCGGACTCGATTGCCTCTCTACCGCGCGCTCATTTTTATTCATACGGTACAGATATGGATGCATTAAATGAATTGTACGTCAAAGCATATCTGAACCTACCTTTAGGATCACAAATGACTGCAGCAATACATGAGAAGAGGGAGCCACAGCCATTCATCACCACAACCTGGACAAACACAGGCATCCACTGTGTTATGAAAGACCCAATTATGGCACTGAGTCCTGATAAATGTGCTTTAAATTAATCCACCTACTAAAACTGCTATTCCTTCCTGTGCAAATTAAGTTGGTGAACCCAGAACTGCTGTCAGTTCAATTGTAGTGTTTGACATTTTTTGATCATTAGTGAAATAAAGCATTCAGCTCAATTGCCTTCATTTTTGATAAAAATGAGAGGCTATAATCCAGAGCACTAGTATAAAAGTGGAATAAAGGCTTATTTGTCAGTAATTATGTGATTTGCTGGACATCGCTGTGAGTCACAAGATGAGGACTTTATTTACACAACCTGGGGATTTATTACATCTTCTACCCTTTGTCATGTATACTGTGTCAAATATTATTATCTTAAGGGTCAATAACATTTATGGAGTCATTATATAGGAGTTGTGCAATATAGCTCCGTGGCATTGTGCACAAAAGAGTATAAAGTCCTCAGGATTGTGCTTACTGCAAGGTGAGTGATTAATAAAAAGGTGTTCCAGTTTTACCTTTGTTATTAATATGATTCCCTTAACGCACTAAGGTTTTTACATATTCAACTGGCTGTGGCCGCTGTCTTAAACACATTTCATATATTACTTTCAGTGCATGCTATTTCAATAATAAAAGCAATACCCACGTTGTCAGCTTTTAATGGGTTTGGAGAACAACAGTAGCGAGTCAGGAATTTTGCAACTGCCTCCCTGAGGCTGAGAAAGAGCGAGACGGAAAGGTCATGGGGTTAATGTGCACAGTGAAAGGTTGTTGTTAAAAATGTAACTTCACCATGAGTCACATAACAAATGTGATCCTCATTAAGAAAAGATTAAAAATAAATGTGCATTTAAGTGTCTTACAAAGCGTGGCCCCTCCAGTCTGAATACTGCAACAAGGATGGGTTGATGTGCAGCATGTCAGGCTTGGTCAGCTGTAGCAGAAAAGGAAATGGGATTTTTTTGTCAAAGAGCAGGCAGAATAATTCATAATAATAAGTAATAATAAGTAAATGGCTACACACATATCATTATAGACTGCATTGGATCTAATATTTATCTTACCCGTTTATGAAGAAGATCATAACAAAGTTTGTTCTCACTGGTCCCCATGTTGATAATACCCTGGAAAAAGAAGGAGCTTTTAATAAATGCTTAAGCATCTGTGACTGGTGTTTACAACATTGTGCTCTCTTACATCAGGGTTGTCTGTATCATGGTGCCGGTCCATTCCATATTGGATGTAGCCCTCCTGGAGGATACCTTCATGGAGTCGGATGCTATTACCACGCTCAGACAGGTAGACGCTATTGCCGGGACCTTCCTCACCCCTCGGTGTTTCCAAAGCATTCTGAGACATTTCGCAGGCCTTGACAGATGTGAGCTGTGACTTTTTTGTCTCCTGATTGAAAACAGACTCTGTCGTGGGAGCCTCTGGAGGTGGCTGGGATGAAGACGAAGGAGCAGAGGGGGCAGGCGTTGTCATCAGCGAAGCTGAAAAACGAGCTAAGGGTGAGGCGGCGGGGTCGCTTTGTGTTGTGGTTTGCGTACCCTCTCTGACAGCGAGCAACACCCCCGTGAGCATGCTGAACAGCCGGAGCTCATGCTGACGCTCTTGTTCTGCCCTCCTCTCCTCCCGCTGCTCCCTGCGCTCCTCCGCCTGTAGCTCTCTCTCCAGCCGCGCCTCCTCCAGTGAGAGGAGACGTTCCTCTGCAGACTGCTGCCAGCTCAGGAAGCTGGCTAGGGCTTTATCCAGTCTCTCCTGACCGCCGCATCTACCGCCCCCATGGCACCATGATGTTTTACCACCCCGGCGCCGCTTCCTCTGTCTCACTGAGGTCTGTTGACGAGAACCCTCCTTTCTGGGCTCGTCGGATGTGTCGTGTGACACGGGACCACCAGCAGCCAAGGTGGTGGCTGTAGCAGAGCCAGTCATGTTCAGGTCACTAAAAGCTGAGAATGTAAAGAAGAGAAATAAGATTTTAGCCTGCTATCAATTTTATAAACATATGCTGATTCTAACTAATAATAATAATAATAATAATAATAATAATAATAATGATAGTTATCGGCTGACAACCTGAAGGTGAAATTCTTGTATTAAGTGTGCTCTCGGCTCGGCTCAGGGTGTCTTCTGGCTCCAGTAGAGACTGGCCATCAGTTTCCTGATCATCTCCAGAACCATAGTACATCTCAGGCGGTGCCTCTCCGGAGTTCAGCATGCTCTCCTCCACATCTTCACATTTGATATCCAGCGGATCTCCAGCTTTTGGAGGCTGGCCAAAGAGAAACCCACCGGAGGAAGCAGGACCAAAAGAGCCCGCTGGCACTCCTTGCAGGTATGCCTCAGGTGCCCCAGAGGTCTGGAACACCTGTTGAGCTATGACAGCTCCGCCTAGGGAGGAGTAGGTAATAGCCGGCCGATTCGCCAGCACTCTGTCCATCACATCATAAAACTTCCAAGACCTCATTTTGTGGTTGTCCTTGATGCGGCGGTACTCCAGCTTCATTTTTTTAATCTTCTCCCTGCACTGGTCTCCTGTGCGGTAGATGCCCTTTTCACGCAAAATGTGGGCGATACGGTCAAACACGCGCTGGTTGCGCAGTGAACTCTCCAGTTCAATCTGCACCGACTCGTCGGACCACAGCTGGAGCAGCTCCACAATCTCCGGGTCAGTCCAGTTGCTGCCTCGCTCGTGCCTCCTACCGCGGAAGTCCATCGTCTAAGTTAGAGGAGGATTTCTGCAACACGGGATGATGATAGCGAAAACGAGCAGGCGGCCTCTGTCAGGCCAACTTCAGGCACGCCGACACACGCTGGATTTTAAATGCATTACTCATGCAGTAAAAGTGTAGCTTATACCAACTCACTGTATTTTCTCTCACCTTAAATCAAAAATGCAGCCCTCCGAAATGAGACCACTGTGGAGCTGTCACTCTCATGTGACATCCACGTAGCCCGATACATGTCACGGATGGTTAACCCGGTTTGGACAGGTTTGGGTCGGCAAAGGTTTGTCCAGCTGGGGTTAAGATCTGTAAATCTTTCTCACAGCAAATGTTGTAATAACTTGGAGAAACGGGGAGTAGACGCGCACTAAGATATCTACATCCGGGTTGACGGCACATGCGTGCTGTCCTTATTCCGGGATAACTTTGGTCCGTGTTATAACGCTGGAGCTGCTTAAAGCGGGCTGGTTTTCACTTATACCAGGCTGTAACGGGGTAGACGCAACCATGCGAGTCAGACTCAAACGGGGAGCTTTGTGTTATAGCCCCCTCTACTGGTTCCAGTGCTGTTTTGTTCGGGTTTTTTTGTAAGTTCAGTACATATCCAGGAGATGGCAGTCACACACAGGTGTACAAATCAAGCCAGCCTTAAAGCATGGATGCGTGTTTTGTATACAGTCGTGTCCCGGAATTCCTCCTGTGAGGATAAACTAATCAGCGTTGCAGCTTGAAACAGGCATAATTTTGACACAGTCATCCAATTTGTTTAGTCGTTACTTTAACCATTCTTATATTTATTTAGACTTTTAACTAGCTCATCAAAAAAGTAAAAATAATACGATGATACGAATATTATTCTTTATCCTGCTTTTGTCAAATGAAAAAAGGGATTAGCGTGACTTTAGGCGAGCTACACAACAGCTGGCCCCGTCCCTATAGGAGACTGCGACGCTACACATCAAGCGCACACTATAAGCCACTCGCTCTAAACGTGACGTATTTCCTGGAGAAAAGGGTTAGTGGCAAGTTGTTGTAATTTTCATCCAATCCTGAACCGGTTTATTGTATTGGCACGTAGCGGCTTATTTTCCCCTTTGTCTGTCCGTGCTGTTTAATTTGTACGTGTGTAAATTAAAAACAGCACTACTCCAGCCAGCAAACAAACCACGTGAAATGACTTAAACCTCTTAGAAGAAGCCTCCGAAGAGATAACTGGGCTCGACGGTGGAAGTTAACTGGCAAAATATAACCATGGTGGCTGTAAGTTGGTGGAGGATGACAAGCAAGACGGGATAGTTGAACTGAGCACTTTTAGGTGAAGATGGGTGCATGCGGGTAGCCTTGTAAATAATCTCCCGGACCGAGTAAAGGACGCACAGTGTCAGGTTAGATGTAAAGTTGCAAGTGAAACCCGCAGAAGGAGGAATGGGAGTCTCCGCACGGAGGGAGGATGAGGAGGCATGCCGTCTCGGTCCTCACTGGTGTTTGACTTGCTAAGGTAACTCCTACGGCTGACAGCCGCTTTACTGTTTTGCTAAAAAAAATTTCTTCTTCTTCTTTTTAATCCGTGAGTTTTTGTTGCGTTCAAAGCTGGGAGGGGAGCTGTGCCAGAGTGGGTGGGAACAATGGGAGTATTAGCGGAAAGCGTTTCAGCAGTCTCTGCCAGCGCTGCCAACAGCGCTCACCAGTCCTCCCAGTCAGGTGAATGCTTCTCCAGTCTAGATAACAAGATTTTTTATTTTATTTTTTTTTACCCGTGTAGGGGGGTCTCTCTCTCTTTTTTTTTTAAAATTTATTTATTGATAGAGACATGGCTTAGTGACATAGTTGGCCAGCTCTGCTCAGACGCGCTCCTCTGCTGAAGTTTATTGGTGGTAAGATAACACGATTGTCCTTAACTGTTGTATTTACAGTGCTGTTTTCTGCAGGATGTCACATTTGGCTCGGCTAATTCAGTTTACAGTCTGCTTTCCACTGTCCTCTGCCTGTCTTGCGCGCACACACTCTTTATTTTTGCGGTCCCATAGTTATTCAACCTGACGCTTTAATAGGGAGTAAAGCTAATCAAGTGCATTTATCTGTGTGTGGTGAAGATAGCTGTAGTAAATTTCACTCAGTTCTGTTTGTCTGGCAGGGTTCACCAAAGCAGTGCGTTAGTCTCCGTCAAACACTGTATATGTGCTTGAAGAGCAGCTCAGTTTGAGCAAACAAGCTTCAAAACTAAACCTAAAGTAATCCAAGTCATGCTGTCCCTACCCCGTGGGTAATATTGTTTGTACTTCTAGTGCAGTTCCCACCAGAAGTAAACCAAAAAAAGGAAGTCAAGGTCACCAGTTGTTGAGGCAAAAAGTATGGCTCGGAGCATCCTTCTTATTCCGACTACGCTACATCACCACATCAAAGACTGACTGATCTTCTGTGCTTTTCCTTTAGGTCTAGGCAAAGGTGTCTTCTTAAGTTTATATAGATAGAGAAAGACTTTGCCGTCAACCTCCAGCCTCCAATCTCCACCCAGTTTGTCACCTGTACTCCTAAATCCAGTACTAGTGGTCCTAAAGGTGTGAGGCCTTAGCAGCACATGGTTTATAAGAGATATAAAACAGGAATGCAGTGGAGGAGAAATAAGTAGGGAGACAAACTTGTCAACAATATAACTCATCTATAAAGTAGGAAGGAGGTTGTCTTAGATGAGGTGGAAGTTTGCCGCGGGGATAAATGCCAAGATTCAGATGGCTGTTAAAAATGGGGTTGGATGTCTCTGTGGGACATTACTTACAGAATTGATTCTTCCTCCTGGACACATTGATGCTGCTGCCCCAGACAACATTTTTATCAGGCTTTTCCATCTCTGTAAGTTATAGACAGTGGGAGCCAGGATGGATTAGGCTTTAGTGGCAGTCAGTCATGGCGTTCTCACTCGCTACACGGCGTGTCTCAGATGATCACCGCACAGCTCACATCCCGCCGTGTAGCGCAGTCCTGATAGAGCACAACATGCCTGTGCAGTGCCTCTGGCTTTCCAATCGCACTCTAACTTGGAGCAATTTTCCCTCTCGGGAAAGAATACTTGGCTGTCAGTGGTACTTCTGAAATGCTGCAGCATGGTTGTGTGCCTTGGTTTTCTGTGAGAGGCCGGCCCAGAGCACATGGTGGGTGTAGATTTGGCTGGTGGGCAGCCTGAAATAGAGCTGGAGTGCTGCATATGGTCTGTCACAGCTTTGTGTTCTTGTCATTGCTAATGGAAATTGGCAGTTGCTCTCCATCAAGTAAAGAAATGGATATTGATTAAAAAAAGAAATCTATCTATACCAGTTCCATTATTGATTCTGCTTGCAGACTCTTTATCGATTCACATATGATTAATTTTTTGATTTTTTTTCTTGTGGAGGGAAGACAAACCAGGTGTTCGTGGGTTAAATGAACTTTTTTCATTTCTGAGTCTGAACAGAGTGCAACAGCAGGAAAAAAAAACTTTGTTGTGACTCAGGTGTACAGAAGCTCTAGTGCCATGAGTTTGACGTTATGGGTTTGCAGCACGGGAGCTGTTATAAAAATAATCCAGAACTGATATTCTTGGAAGCACACGATTCCGATGGATTGGAAAGTTTGGAATGGTTCTTGATGCAACTTGTTCTTTATTCTCATCTGTCAGCAAGGGTGGATGCTATTTTGTCTCATTATGTTTGTCATGTCGCTCCGGAACGAACCAATTGCACATTGTGTGCCTTTCTGTTGTTTTGTACATATTCCTCTAGTTTATATATATTCCTCCAGACTGTATATATTTCTTCTGTTTGCTATTTATTCCTGATGTCTTTAATTTTTATTTATTTATTTACTCCTGCACAGTTGGCGTGGAGCACCCATAATTTCTTTGTACATGTACAGTAACAATAAAGGGCTATTCTATTCTATTAAATCATCTTGTCAGATAAATCACATTTAACCTACTGGGAATACTTGTGATAGCGGTGTGCTGTTGACTAAACAGCTGCTCCAGAGCTTTGGGAAATCAAGTCTTTTCCAACTAAAAGAAAATAATATTTTGAACTTGTCTTAAGAATTGAGTTTGATTCAGGTTCATGCTGCTGACAATATTGCTTCATTTGACTGATGGTGTTTGAGTTAGTATTGGACGTTGTTATTTATTTATCTTTGCACTCAGCAAGAATTACTGAGTTTTATGTCAAATACCAATTTTGAAATCGGAACATTTTAAAATAAATAATGACTGGATGATGTTATTTTTTTAATGTAATTTATGTTTGGCAAGGATACCTCTAATTTGGTTACAAGAAAGCTATAACAAAGATATTTAAAGTCATTATAGCTGGATAAAAAGCTTTTTTATGGGGGATGGCAGTAAGGGTAAATTTAGGAATTATACAAATGGGAAAGTATATTTCAAATGCGGATCCTGTTATTTAATTGCTTTAAATAACTGGAAGGCAGCACAATGTCGCCACACAGCAAGAAGGCTCCTGCAAGGCTGCCCAGAAACATGCTTAATGGGTTAACTGGTGAGTCTAAATGGGCTGTAGGTCTGAGTGCGAAGGGTTATCAGTCTGTCTGTGTTAACCCCGCAATGGAGTAGCAGCCTGTCAGCTCTGTCGCCCAGCATCTGCTAGGATAGACTCCAGCCCCCCACCCACCACCCCTCCCCCTGCGACCCCGACTGATTGATGTGACGCAACAGATAAACATGTCGCTGCCATAGGTAAATGTCACCTGACTTGTCGATAGGCCGATATCAGTCAACATCGCAGATGTAAGCCGATGCACCGTTCGTCCAATGTATCAATGCTTTACTGTTTGCAACCTATAAAAATGCAGGCCACTAATAGCCACTAATATCATTTACTGATGAGTCAGTTAAGCCAACAATATCATTTCTGCTGGTGAATGTGTTAGGCTGTAACTGTAACCTTTAAATTATATACAACCTATAAAATACAGCATTAGGATGATAATAACAGTGTACTCAAAAAGTGCATTAAAAATCCCCTACCATGTTTATATAATAAAAGATAATGTGGACTACTTTTGAGCAGTTTTAATCTGTTTATTGCTGCAAGTGTTTAGGGTACAGGGGCTGCAGTCTAATGGACTGGGGAAGTTATCAAAACATTAATTAATGGACACTGCTGATTCATCTCCCTCTAATCTCAAACAGCTTGAATAATGAGTCAAAGCACACGAGTCAGTCTGTGCTAAGCTTCTTCAACGGAGCCTGCAAAGTTCTGCTGACCACTGAGCAAGAACAAGGGATCAGCTGATGCGATGCGTCCTCTTGAAGGACAACTTAGTTGCTGATGCTGGAGAATAAGAGAGGATTTTGAATCGTCTAGAAAGAACATCGTGGCAGAAGTTGTTGCTCCTACTCTGTTTCAGCAGTAAGAAATTACTTTTGGGGAAAAAAAATAAAAGATTTCTCGTCCTCCTTATCAAAAGGGCCCACTTAACGACTTTTAGAAGTCCTGACAATAGCTTGAAACAGAAAGTGCTCAGTTAATATTTCAAATCTGTCATGTTATTTTAGCAAATCACGGGTCATTTATCCACCCCTGCACGTCCTCTGAAGGTTCAGTGTTGTAGTAATCTCAATCGAGGTTATGCAACTCATTTTCTATTTTCATTGTAGTTTAGATTCTGAAGTCTTAGTTCTCCTTCGGTGTGAAGGTTGAAGCTGCGGCTTACTTTTAGGCCTTTGATGTATATTGTAAGAGTAAGCAGCCACTTGTTAATTCCTCTCCAGGCTGCATTTTGAAAGAAGGTGTTTTGGGAGTTGTATTATAATGTGCTTGTTGTTTTCCGCAGTGCTGTACGAGGGGGAGGGACCCCACCAGTACCACCTCTATCTCCTCTCTCTCTTCCCCTATTCTCGCTCTCCATCTATTCTTCCGTCTCTCAGCCGTCTCGGTAACAGCGGACCCCTGCTCCTGTTTTTGTGGCGCTAGCATAGTGTCTAATGAGCTCAGAAGAAATACTCCACAGGAAGAGTGACAGCCCGTGGTCATGTTTCCACCATTTCTCCTGTTGTGCTCAAATCACACCCACACCACATTTGTGAAGCCACAGAAGCGAGCGTCTACTCTTTGAATAGTTTGAATCTATGCAATCTGCGCAAATGGGATAATTGTTTGGATGATTGAGGGATTGAGGGTATTTTCGGGGAAGTGAGGAGTTTACAGCAAAAACAGCAGTTGCCTCCAAATTCCTACTGCTAAAAGCATATCATTTGGAGTTGGGAGGTTTTCTTATCAGTCCACAAGGAAAGGATTTTGGTCAAAATAAAAAAAATGTGTTTACGACTAACCCGTCCTTTATTTTCTTCCTCTTGTCCTCTGTCGGATCATTGTAGAAGCACATTAAGCAGAATATCCCAGACTTCTTTTTATCCAGCAACATTTCCAGACTCCTCCTGGGGGATCCCGAGGTTATTGCAGCCCAGATAACATATAAAATGTATCTGGAGGAATTTCGATCTAACCCAAAGTCCTTAGGGTAGCTTTCTCTGTGAAATGCATGAGCCACCTGAGCTGGCTCCTTTTAACATGAAGGAGTAGTGGATCTACTCCAAGCTCCCTCAAATGTACGAGCTTCCCACTCCGTCTCCAAGGGCGTGCTTCCATTCGGTACGGCTGCCATGTAGCGTGCACTAGCACGACAGTGCCCGCTCTCTCACTGGCCTGCACATACACTGAGATTAGCGATTGGGACCGGAGTACACATCAGTTCATCTCAGCATCTCAAATCCCCTTTCTCGTGCTCACTCACTCTCAAATAGAATACTTGAAAAACACATTTGCAGAGTACAAAAAGGGTCATGATTTCAAGGATTTTGTGGCTTGATTGGGAAAGTAGTGTCACACTGTCTTCTCACATGCACCAAACATTGCTGATTACCTAAACTGTTTTTCACTGTAGCTATATGAAACACGGCATACTGTTCTTGGGCAGATTTTGTACTCCTATTATGTGAGGACCACTAAATCTCACCTGGACCCACCTCTTCAAGCAGGTCAGGGCACAGCACAGAGCAATCACACGTGTCAAACAAACTGTAATTTTGGGGGTTCAACGTGACCTGACGTGGTACGGTTAGTTTGGTATGAGCGTAACCTGAAAGCCTGAGCCCAGCTCCTGTGCAAAGGAAAATATTTTCAGTCCGTTGCATCCACAGCCTCATTTTTCTTTCTATCACTACCCAGAACTCATGACCATAAATGAGTGTCTGAATGTAGATTGACTGCTCCTTTTACCCATTACCGTGAAAAAATGCCAAGATACCTTCGCTTCGGGGAAAAAACAAACCCGTCTGTAGGGAGCGATCCACTTTTTTCCAGCAGAGAAATAAATAGAATTTATTTTTTCAATTTAAACTGAAGGTTTGAGGCTGAAACTTTCCCAGATGTAGTAAAAAAAGTTTTTAGTTGCGTCGTAAATCTAAAAGGCTGAATTCGAAAGATAAATTGTATGATTCAAGAAATTGTGCTGCCTTCTGCCCTTTTTGACATGATCAGGTATTACTTTCCATAAGGCATCTTACAAATGCTCTTAGCCACTGCCATCTTTCTATCCACCACATCCTCGGGCTCAAAAATAAGACGTAGTCCTGCAACCAGTGGTGTAGCCTCCTCATCCTATGATCTTAGGATAACGTCAAGAGACACAGCAAGTTCTTTAAAGCTTTGAACATCCTACCTGCCAGGTGTTTTAAAAAGTTGTGCACCAAGAAAGTATACCTAGGAAAATGTGCACTATTGAAGGATCTGGACTGTCACTAACTTATTCAAAGCACCTGGTGGCACTAGATAAAGTATGCTGGGGTTTTAAAAGCCAGATCACGACCAAGTTGAACGAGTATTGGAGAGCTGAGAGAGTTTGATTATGTATCCAGGTATACTGTAGTTCGACTGCTGCTAAAAAAACATTAAGGAAGCACTTGATCGTCACAGTATAATGCAAAGGCTGTGAAACCTCAGGGATACCAGTCTGTCCACAAACACAAGGAGACAGGCCGTTACATAAGACAAGCTGAAGAGGGTCGTAGAAACAGCAGGAGCAGCACCAGAGCCTTACAAAATGACCTCCAGCAGGCTACTTGTGTATGTTTCTGACCAGACTGTCAGAAACATACAAAGACTTGGACTCAATGAGGGTGCCGTGAGCTCCTGACAGCACCGCGCAGTGCAGCTCAATTGGCATTCGCCTGAGAGCTCCAGAACTGGCAGGTCCGTCATTGGCACCCTGTTCTCTTCACAGATGAAAGAAACTTTGCATTGACCACGTGTGACAAATGCCTCGGCAGCCCCAGTCCTTGGTCTGTCACATGTGTGTATGCTTTCTAACTGGACAGATGGATAACACTGAAGTAATGACTAGTTTAGTGACTTTGTATTATACTGTGATGATCAAGTGTTCCCCTTTTTTTGTCTTTTTAGGGTTTCTAAGGCAATGAACAGCTAACTTAACAGTTTTATACTTTAAATCTAAAAATCCTGATGTCCAGAAATGTTGACATAAATATTCTAAATGGAAGTGTACCAAATTGGGGGGGTCTACACTGCAAATTCAGCAAATTTACAACATCTGAGATTTTTTTTTCCACATCGGTTAAGTGTGTTGTGTGGATTGATACATTTGATATGATTTTGTGTGATCAGCAGCGTTACCACTGAGCCATTTAGGCCTGTATGGTCTCTATCTCCTGTTCTCTTAGGATGAGCTGATATACTTAGCAGATAACCACATCTTATCTGTCTTCACACTCTGAGTCAGTTAACTTACCTTAAAGCTTTCCTTTTCATGTTTGACTTACAGGCTCCTTTTTTATGATCCAAAGAGCTACAAATCAAAGAGCAGCAGACGATCTCAGTTGAAAATCTCGCTCATTTGAACAGCTGCTCAAATAATGGTCCTTTTTAGCGTGCTTATTTTACTATTCTGTTAAATGTGTTGAAAGTACCTTTTCATACCTAATAAGCAGTCTGTTATTTAAAAAAAATGGAATGCCTTATAATGAAGAGAAGTGCGTGAGTAAAATTTAAATATTTTCTTCCTCAGACACGTTTCCCCTCTTTTCGCCAGTAGCTGTATATTGGTTTGCTAGGAGCTCTTCCTGTATTGCAGCAACATGCCTACTGTATATCATTATCATACATTACCATTTCAAGTCTCAAAAAAATGAAAGAGAATTGGAAAATGATTTCATTTTTGGCACAGCCCTTGTCTGTTTCTGACCTAATATTTATGCTTTGCACATTTATTAAGATGTGGTCTTCTTCTCAGAGTCTGACAGCAGACTGTGAGTAAGTTTCATGCTTGATAAGGTCTGTGGGTGTGGTGTCTATTTTTGATGCAGTTCTGGGTTTGTTTTTGTGAATGGTGTCTGCGGTAGGTAATTCAAACCCAAGAGTGACCCAGTTAAGAAGGCCATGTTTGTGTTTATAGCTTGCTCTGTCCTCTCATCTGCAGGCCAGTGTTCTACTTTGCTGCTGTAAGGTGGAGCATCCCCACTCTGCCTGGGACACAGCAACAGACGGACAGATAAACTGCGCTGTGAAGTTGTCCTTTTAATGGATGCCAGGGAGGCCCTGCTTCTCTTGTGGACAGTCTTTGTCCTGCTGACAGCTGAACTGAATTGGATTGATGGTGCAAAGGTCTACACCAACACGTGGGCTGTCCAGATCAATGGGGGCCCTGGGGAAGCTGATCGCATCGCCAGGGAACATGGTTTCATCAACCATGGCCATGTAAGTTCTACGTCTCTTACTCCTTCCTTGTATTACAGTGTCTAAAATGTTATACTATATATGTCGCATATGTCTGTTTGGATTAGTTTCTCTCCTCTATACCACCTACCTACTAGATTTTACTTTACTATACACAGCCATGGTTTGTTACAGCAAAGTCTTGCAAGTCTCAGGCTTACAAAGCAAGTGTGCATCAGAGAGCCTTCTTTTTTTCAGTGGATTGCTAAAGTCTGGCCTCTTCCCATTTCTTGTAGCTTAAGTGTTTCATGCATGACTTCTTACCACGCTGGCACATACTCGTGTTTGCAGAACAGTGGTAGAAATAGACGGCAATAATAAGGGTGATATTTTAGGGCCTGAAGGACGGTGGCTCTGTTTAATTATGATGTAGCTAGTTTAATTTTATTGCTAGCACTTCAGTTGCTGTTTGTGGTCTTGCCAAGTCATTTTATTTAATTAAACTGTTGTATCACACAGTTTTGAGATACGGGAGAGGGAAAAAAAACAACTGTCAGAGGGTGAAGAATGAGGAGGAGAGACAGAGAAGTGACTTATTGTTCTTTCAGCGTATTAGGTCCCTCACATATCAAAATGCTTCAGAGGCTAAGCTTTTTCATATTTGTGCTCAGCACTTGACAGCGAGTCGCTATTTGGTCCCCTTTTCCCTTGTTGCTTCACTTGAGACTTTACTTCATTTGCATGTGTCTGTGTGGAGCTGCTGGAGTGTCACACACACACACACACACGCACACGCCAGTGAGCAGCCCTATGGATTACTTCTTACGAATCTGCGTAGGAGGTTCTGCATATTCCCGTCCCACCTCTACCCACCTCAACTAAAGAGGATTCTCTGAAAGAGAGGTTTGCGAAATTAAATCGGGCTTATCTCTCCTGCCTTTTTATTGTCAAAGATGGTTTTGTCTGGAGTGCGAAGCCAGACGTTTTTAGTCTTTTATCCTAGCAAATAGTTGTAGTTCGGGTTTTTTGACAATCTGGACAAGATTAGACTTGTGTCAATAGGAAATGCTCTTTACGTCCATTATAATAGGTCACATCCATGTGACCAAACGTTGAGCTTCTCTGAGGAACTTTAGTTATTTTTAAATGTGCAGTTTCTTTAGTATTTATGTAGATACTGCAGTAGCTTCAGGCTTAAAGTATAAAACTATTGTAGTGCAGGATAAAAGAAGGCTTCGGTATATTGGCCCCTGACACTTATACTGTAAAACGATTCTGTAAGTTCAGGATAGAATGAATTGGGTAAAATGAACGCATCAATATACTGCTCACAAAATACAGATATATATACTCTAGAGCCAAAAAAGTATGTCTTCTCAGAATGAGGTAATTCTTCTTTCTCTCATATTCCTCTAATGTGATCACTTTCCCTAGGAAAAAAAAGTTTAATCAGTTCCTCCCTTCTGTTTATCACTGTTGCCCTCATTTCACTCAGCTACAGAAACATTTTGAGCCTCTGCCTATAATACCACTTAATTAAAGGATAGATGTTTAGTTTTCTACTTTCTGTTAATTAGTGATTACGTCAAATGAAGAGATGCTGGCAGAAGGCAGCGAAATGAATCCTCTAAGATGACTTTGGGTTTGCGAAATCTATGATCCCGTATGGCAGATTGTCAGTTAAGTGCACACGAAATTAAGCTAAGGTCCTGGAAAATGAAAGAGAATTGCATGCAGACTCATTTTGAAGAGTGGGCTCTAAGAAAAACCCACTTACCTCACCCCAACCAAGCCTGTAGCACTTTTCTCCAAAAGCGGAGGGTTCTGTTTTTTTTCCCTGCAGTGTGGATGTGGGAGGCAGATATTCCAAGGGTGGTGGTTATAGTTGGCTGCAAGTTTAGGGAGAAATGATACAAATACTAATTTCCTAAATACGGTGAAAGCTAGGAGCTTGTGTGGGAGACGCGAACAAAGAAAGGAGTAAAGCTAGTGTAGCATGATGTAATGGACAGAAAAGTGCTGGATGACTGGAGAAATTTAGTGTTATCCACCGTCTGGAATTAGATTTTGTAGGAGTACATCTTCAGTCATTGTTTTACAGAAGCACCCAAATAAGTTTTATTTTAGTCTCTCTTGAGTGGGTGCTATGAGAGAATGATGATATATGGGCTATGTGCAGTATCTGCTCTCTGACAGTGTAGTGTGGGTTATGTGAGGGTATGAGTTAGGCAAGACTTTGTAGAGCTGGCAGCTTAGAGAGGGAATGACTTATTCATTTTCCCATCATCCTTGGTGGTGGTTCTATAAGGCTCTTGTAGAGAGGAAAGAGGCTGATGTATAATCAGGACTTAATTGGATTTTTATCACTAATGTGATTACAGGATCATCACGTAACAGATTATTTGTTCACTGTGGTGCTTAGAAACACCTTATTGTCTCTGCACGTCTTTTTGTATTTGCAGATTCACTTATTATGTTTCGGCCTCATTTTCTTTGAGTGTATAAGGGATAATGTGCATGTGCGCGTTTGATTATGCTTCATGCTGATATTTAAGTGTAAATGTCATCAAGACTTTGTTTGTTGGCATCGTTGTATCTGTTTGTTGTATCTGTGTTAAATTTTGGCCTCCTTTCTTCGTAATGCTTTGTGTCTGTGTGGGAGTTCTATGGTAGGGTTAGGAGCTAAATGTCATGTTGCGTTCTTGGTGAGCCAAGTCAGAATCATTGTTTTTATGAGGATGGGCAGGCTCTGTAGGTGGTGACAGACTGAATCACCCTGGATTAGACGTCTAACGCCACAGCCTTTCTCTGTGTTTCTTTGTCCTTCTCTCTTTCTGCATCTCTCCATCTGGCTCTCCCAGTTTCTTTCTATTTATAGCTAACTGACTGTAAACATGTGGCTGTAGTGTAATCTCAAATAAGGGCTTTTTTGTTCAGCTTCACACAGTCAGCTCCCTTGGCGGGGGGCCTTCTTTTAAGACTGCAGGAAAACACTCCATTAGGGCTGTGCGATATGACCAAAATCTCATATACCAATATAAAACATCTATCGTCCGATAACGATATGAATCACAAAAAATTTAACATTTTCTGTAAATTCTGTGAATCTCGGGTAGGTGAAGTGTTTCCAGCTGGGCGTCTTGTACCTGGAGTCAAGTGTTTTAACCGATGCATGAAACTACACATTTTTAGACATAGGTTATAACAGCCGCCGTTTTCTTTGTGAGTATTTATTACACGGCGTGCTGCGAGGAAAAGCCTGTTCTAACGTTTGAGTCTAAGGTTTATTTTTTAGCACCTGACGACTTTTTTTTTTGCTTCTAATCCGTCAATACTCTGCATACTTTTTTATGTGATTCCGTTTATTTTGAAAATTCTCAACAGGATCTTGAGCTTTATTGTGAAAGGTTTGTGTGGAAAATAAACAAGCGGACATGCGATGGTTTTACCATCGTTGTTGCTAACGACAGCCCATAAAACAATGGACTCTTCTCACTGTTGAGGTCTGGGAAGCGCTTCCGCTCCCTTAAGGCCAAAACAGAGAGAATGAGGAGGAGCTTCTTCCCCCAGGCTATTCGGGCCCTGAACCAGGTGTAGGACTGGACTCCACCCACACACATCACATCACTATAAGACTGGACTCTCACACACATCACATCACCACACATTTCCTATAATCCTATAATTCCTATAATTTATAATCTTTATAATCTCTTTCTGCTATTTGCACATTTTTTTGCTGTAAATTTCTAAGTTAATTTGTAAATTTTGTAGTAACCTGTAAATTGTAAATACTGTAAAACTTTTTTTCTGTCATTTAATGGTCGGGCATTGTACAGCTACAAGCATTTCACCCCCATGTCATACTGTGTATGGTTGTGTGTGTGTGACAAATAAAATTTGAATTTGAATTTGAATTTAAAAACAGATGCTTGTCCGTCCGTAGTGTGGTTATATTACATATAAGAGAAAGAGAGAACTTTAATAAATTAATATAGCCACTACAGTGACCATCAAAACGATGAAAAAAAATATTGCTGTAAACAGTTTATTTTGCAACACCACGAAACATACGATAGCGTAAAATGAAACGATAGACGTTTTTATATCGTCATCCCATATATATCATTATATCGAACAGTCCTACACTCCATTGGCTTCAGTGTTGCACAGCTTACAGACCATTCCCATTCAATGAATGAATGTTTGATTGCAATCATTTTGTCTCAAGTTATAGTACTAAAATACTCTTTCAGACTCAACTTTTCTGTGCTAGGTGGAAGGTTCTGCAATCTGCAGTTGTCTCTGCATGATACCTTGCCAACTATGTGACATGTCAACCAACTGGCCTATTCTCTCTCTTCCTTTATTTCATTCAGTGAGCTTATTTGATTGGCCAAAAAAAAAAAAAGAAATGCAACAAAATGATTTCATGAAATACATCTCACTCTCATGCACTCCCTTTCTTTCTGTCATCATGTAGTGGCTGTGGGAGATTGTCACAACACACCAGCACTGAGTGCATGCAGATGTGGCACTAATGCTTTTAAGGCCGTTTGTTTTTCTAGCGAGAAGAGTTTGATTATTTTCTATTTGAATGTGTTTTGTAAAGTGAGCTCTGAGAGAGAGAGGTTGTTTATATTAGACTGTGTTATTGGTTTTATCTTGCATTCATTTGCCTTAAGTGCAATGGGGAGGATGTGTTTGTGTGAGAATGTGTCATTGGTTTGACTGTTTAAACACCCCCCCAGTTATTTTAAGTAAATAGTTTCACAAAAGCAACATCAATTCTTTTCTTTAATCAGTTAAGATTATTTTCTTTCCCTTTCTTGCACATAAACTTCTTCAACCCTTTAGGCTCAATCATAAAGTTATATTTCACTGTTCTCCTGCATATAGACGTGCACCTGCCTGCAGTATTTGCTGATTTTGGTTCCTCATAGGACTTTGAAAAAAGAAATGGGGAGAAGTGCTTCTCTGAATAAAAGTTGCAAAGTCTTGCCGTTGGCACTAATGAACCTCAAGAGATGGAGTCTGAAGTG